GGTGAAACCCGGTTTAGCCTGTCCTTTGCATAGCGTCTAGGTTAGAGGGTAGAGGCTACCTCATCTTTCAAAGGACGTTGTCTTGACAATCTCACAAAATGACCGGAAAATTCAAGGATCAATGATATATCAAATCAGGCATTCCAATATAAATCAATCCATATGAAAGTGAACGTCAGCGAACTCGCACATCTCTCTTCTTTTATTCGCAAAGGTTGGTGGTCTCGCGGATGCCTTGGTAGGGCGGATGCATATTGATGCATCTTGCCCCTCTCCCCTACGGGGATGCACTACCAAGGCGTCTTCTCCGCCTTCCGCTTCCTGAGTGAATGCCCCGAGGCATCTGCTGCAAGCGCGGCCTGAGCCCTTCGCGCCATGTCGAAACTTTCTTTCGTCTCCCACAACTGATGCAAGAAAGCAAGTGGCAGATCAGCGTACTTAAGATCAATGCGGTGCTCTGAAGAAAAACTGGTGAACACTTCGTTCGTCAAATCGTCAGCATGTTGATTCTCGCTGCGTGGTCTCCAATTCAAGAGCAGTTTGAGCGATGCACGAAGCAGCAAATCTGACAATTGCATGTTTATGAGCATGAGAGGCCATTTTGTGGATGACCTTTTCTTCAGCAACCTGGAGTTGCCCTGATTGTCTGTGTCTGCGATGCATTCGACATCGAGCATGGTCCTGTTGACCCATGCAGACAGGTAGCCGAATGCATGCAGCGCCGCCAAAGTTGCGAGGAGCTCTGCGGAGCCCGACGCCCATTGCGACTTTTCTTGCTCGTCAAACAAGTACGGGGCGTCCCTTTGGCGACAAGCGTAGGGAAAACCATTTGGATGAGAAGGTGTCGTCACTCAATTCCCATCCTGCTATCACTACGAAGCCGTCGGAGCATTTAGCGTCCGTCCGAAACCCTGCAACCTTGTGTTTAGGCTTCTGACAAGGGTTGACCTTGAAGGAGAAGTCCTCCAGGGTCCTCTCCAGGTAGAGGAGCGTCAAGATCACGGTTTCGGGGAGTTTGGCAACCGTACTACGTGACACCGCAGATGCCCAAGCATATAGAGGCGCGAGGTGGGGTTTTATCCAATCCACTATCCTAGAGATAAACCCCAAGCGGCCGAGGAATTCTCTAAAGAGTCTCACCTGGACCACAAACCTGTTGGCACGTGCGTCCCGGATCCAAGATGTGATCCATGCACCTCTGGCATCGGACATCCCCACTCTCCAGGTGCTGTAGTCAAGCTCATATCCTACAAAAGGAACCTTAAAGCCACCTTTAAATTTCTTAAAGGAAAACGGCGTTCCCAAAGCAAGGTACAAGACGAACCACATGATGAGGTTGCGGAACTTCTGCTGTCCCGTGAAGACACCGTGCATGTCATCAACGTAGCAGAGCTGGTAGAACCACTCCTGAAGGAGAGCTCTTGCTACAGTGAACCCCACTATCCCAAACAAGCGGCTCCACCAAAACGAAGCGACACTCAAACCGAAAGTGCCCACGGTATTAACCCACAAGACCGAGCTCGAAGAATCGGCTTTGCAGGCCATTAGCGGGTGATCCTTACGCCTGTGCTTGACTAGCCGGTGTGCGGCCGTGACATCCGCAGAAATGCCGAATGCCGCCTCGCGAGAACGTTTGGCCGAACTGACAACATGTGCAACCTCGGCCGGCCCTGGGGTTGCCGTCTGGTTAACAAGATGGATGCCGTTTTTTACCTTCACGCCACGTGTCCCGTCGTGCAGCGGGCGGACCGTGCCGTCCGGCTTGGCCACAGCACCCATTGCCGCGACCCTGACACGATCCTCGCCATGCTCAGCCGCGAGAGCTGCGAAAGTAGTTGGGTACATCCTCCCGAGCTTCTCTTCCTCACGAAACTTCAACTCCAACTCTTGCACGGTAAGCTTGGCGCTTGTGTAGTTGTCCCTGATGGCCTCGAATGAGCTCTCGTCCAACTTGCGCCATTTGACCTTCCGCTCAAAGACCTGTGGCACGCGCGGGATCACTTCGTCATATCCCAGTGGGACACCCTTTTCAAAGCACTCCTCCCCCTCTGTAAGGATCTGCAAGTCTGGGTCCTCAAGTAGACGAGCCGTGCAAGCCAGCAGCCGTAAGTAGAAGGGCTGAGAAGTTGAGACCTCGAGTAGGTCCTCATGCTTGATGCCTTCGATGTCACAAACGATTGTGGCCCACTCCTCGCGCAAGCGTTGCAAAGAGCTGTAGTCGAACGGTGAGCTATCGATGTGAGCTGCTGCCAGCCTCAAACACAACTGTCTGTAATCCGGGACCTGTCTTAAGACAAAAGTGCGAACCAGCTCGCGCAGCCGCCCCGCCATGTCCCTTGCCTGCTGCGAAAGCGTGGCCCCCCTCGAGGCAGGCAGCCAGCGAGTAGGCGAACAGAGGCCGTACCCGTCTGTCATGGGTGTCTCTTGCCCGTCCCACTCCAAGTTCAACGGGCCTCCAAAGTTCCCGCAAAGTTCGGGTTTGAAGGAGTCGTCAAGCGCCGTGGACGGTTCGCCCACAGCGGCACTGGGCGAAGGATAATCAGAGTCTGAACTCTCCCCAACCGCGGACAGCTCCTGGCAATCCGATGCATCCGAAGGGAGGTTGAACCCTGAGTCCACAAGCAAGCGTTTGTCAGCAGGTTTAAGTGCATCCAGCCTCGCAACCGTGAAAGCCACAGCGACGAGTCTCCGTCCCGTCCATGGCATGGTGCAATGTAGAGTCTCCTTGGCGTTGAAGGTGAGGCCATCCGTTGGTATCGCGGCGGCCTTCCCCATCACCTCACCCTGCTCCAAGCTCTGTGGTACTGTGCCATTTTCATCCTTCAGCCACACCTCCCCTCCTGAAAACTTTGTCAAGGGCAATACCAAGTTGCCCACAGGGGAGTTCCTGCTGTCCATGTGAAGGGATGTGCAATCGTTATCATAAAGGCTCAACGTGCTGAACACATGATTCGGCTGCATCGTCCTGACAAACTTGGTGAAGCATCTCGTGGCCTTCGGGAAATCGTGGCATGCCTTCCTGAGGCCCGTGATCCCACCCTTGTTGTACACTCCCGAACTGAATGAGCTAGGGAGGCGGCCTTCAGGGTCACGTGGCGATACTTCCTTGGGCAAAAGGTCATACAAGCGTTCCAAGTCCTTTGCCTGCAATGTAGCACCTTCGGCCAACAGGTCACAAGCCAGCTTCTCGGCGGGGTGCATGTGGGCCTCCGACGAATCGGGACCGACTACATCTGCATCTGGGGTTCGGGAGGTCTTATCGGCAGCCGGGCCACTAGAACTAAGTGGGTGGGTGACGGCAAGACAGGGAAAGGTCCTACCGGCTGCCTGGGAACCCGAAACCCTTGGAGCATCAAGTGTGCCACTGCCCTTGCGCGCGGCCTGTTAGGGGCTTAGGGTGATGGCTACGGGGGCAACGCGAAGGCAGTGGTCCTAAGTACGAGCCAGCCGAATTGAAAGTGGGCCAGACATTGAACGGTGGCGGCTCAACAAGCAAATGTGGTGCATTGCAAAGAAACCTACTGGGTTTGGCGTTTGAAGCATTGAAGTCGCAACGAAAGTATGCCCATGTGGTAGCCGAATGCTGAACTTGCAAATCGCGGACCTGTTCCCACTGCCAAAATGAAGCTGGGCGCTCGCCGTCTTTGGTAGCTCCCAAGTCCTCCGGATTTTCAAGAAGGAAGCAACTGCCAGCAGCGGCACACGTAGAAGCAGCAATGCACCGATCGAAGAAATAATTTGACAAATCGACCTTAAGTCTGTCGTCGTCTGATAACCATGGAAAACCTCTAGGCCATGCTTCGCACCTCAGTGGTGGCGGTCCGGGCCGTTTGTGCCGAGCTCGCGACGTTGTTTCACAAGGCGGGCTTGCCAAGAAGATCCAATCCCCCTGGCTAAGGCACTGAAGAACCGAATCAACCGATCAGTCATCAAGTCGGGATCCTCAAAAGTGAAACCCTTGCATTCGCTGACTCCCTCCCCTCACACTCCTGCAAGAAGGCCTGCAAGGCTGGCAAGCCAAAGCAGAAAGTTTTTAAGCCAGCGAGCTGGCACCGTCACTCAGGGTTGGCACCTGATCTTCGTAACAGCCTTTCACTCTGCAGACATGGGCACGATTGCACTTCCCGAGGCATCCCTGATTGTTGTAAGCGAAACAGATTTCTTTGCCGTCGGGAGTCCTCCAGGCCAGCTGGAGGCCTCGCAACGTGCCCTTTCCCTCCCCTTTATCCCCCTTGCCTTTGCCTCGACCGCTTTTGGCACCAGCTTTTCCCCCTTTATCCCCCTTCTCGGTACGGCGGGTCCACTTGGTGGGCATGGGAAAGGCGGTGAGGGTCAACGGGGTTACAAAATGGACCTCCTTCATCTCCGTGTCTTTGGTCACAGCCAGCAATGCGGCCTTGAGCGTCATGCCATCCTCATTCACAAGTCGGAAGGCCTCTTTCCGCATGCGGTATTTACCTCAGGACAATGCCGCAAGGTGGCCCAAAACTGTGCATTGTTGTTGTGGTCGTAACCCGTTGCTTGCTCAAGCCTAGGCCCTGCAACCCGTTCGCCAAGAACGAAATCCACAAAGGCAGTGAAATCTGCCATCGTCAAGTCCTACAGCCAGCTTTTGGATTTGTATCGGGCCTGCATCGCTTGCCAAGCAAACCCTCAACCTTAATGACCCGGCGGTAAGCTTCGGAGTTCTGGGGCATCTCAACTTTCTGCTTTGTCTTTGTAATCCGAAGGTGCCCTGCTCTGGATCGACACTGGATTGAATTGAGGCCGTCTAGAAGTCGCGCTTCGATGTGAGGTGTCAAGCTGCACGGCAGTTGGTTCCCTCCGACCATCCCCAGGTCTGAATCCTGATGCGCTACAAAGACATTCAGATCCTCAACTGACGGTCAAGGTGTGTTCGCTCCTTCGAATGAAATTGAAGAACATGCAACACAAGAGCATTTTTCCTCGCGCTTGAAGTAACATGGATCAACGGAGTTGCGATGTCAGATGGAATGTGCAGACTTGTGGCTTACAGTTTCTTAACTTGCTGACTTGGCTTAGACTTCCAGGGCAGAATAGAAGAATTGGAGACATCAGCGACCGAGACTGAGATTGAGGATCTTTAAGAGCGAGCAAAGCCATTTAGACCCCCAGAGTCGCAACACAGGGCCAAGTCGCCACACTGAGAGTCTCTCGAGAACCTAAGATCCGTCTCGAACACGGACTCTGTGATTCGGCATCCTCTCTCTATGGTAGGGGTATG